GGGGGGGGGGGGGGGGGGAAGAACAAAAGAAAAAGGAAGGAAGGGGAAAAAAGAAAGGGACACTTTGAGATACCCTGGGCACAAGCTGTGCTGGCTGTAGAAGCAGGGAAAGTCCATTTTCCTTATCTCCACGTGGAATCTAGCATTGCTTAAGTATCTTGAATAGTGGTAGCACAAAGATGTGTAGCCTTCTGAGCTTTAAGGATATTGGCATTTTCATAATGGGCCCTATTGCAGTGGCAGTGGCAGTGACCCTGGCATAGCACCCTTAAAAGGTTTCAGGGTATTGAATAGAGGGAACCAGACCAAAAAAGGGAGAAGAGGATGGATGCTGCCTGAGAGACTGGTTCATAAGCCTGAGACATACTTGCCAAGAACTCCAGTTTACTGGCTACTTACATGTATATAATCATAAATTATAACCACAATCAAATGATTTCTGGAGACATTTGAGTTACACTTCATTATTTGCTCTGAGAGAAGTGTCTCCCAGGACTTAGCATGAAGCCTGACACACAGCAACTGCTGATAAATGTTTATGGATTTATTGAATAAAAGAGTTGAGGAGACTTTGAGAGGGGAGGGTGGGGAGCATCACATATACCTACACATACTTAAAACGTGATAGTTTTTTCCTGATCTGACCAAACCTGGAACATAAAACAGAAACGAGAGCCGGGCAATGGGCCCTGGTCCCTTTTGGTTCTATGCACGTGTGACCAGGTGCTGAGACAAATTCCGTGGCAGTTAGAAAGTGAACTGACTGCCAAGATGGAGAAGAATGAAAAGTTAACCTTGACTTTCTACACTCCTGAGGTTCCCAAAGTAAAAGGGGACCGACAATACCAAAGGGTGAGGAGGTACCTAATTGGAGATCAGATGAGAGGTGACTTGAAGGTGGGGGCTAGACAGAGCATCCTAAAGATAGAGAAAAGATCACCCTAAAATTTTTGATTTTCATAAAAGGAGTAGGGAAAGATATCAAATCAAACCCACATGGGGATATTTGAGACAGAGAAGACTAGGAGACCAGGGGGTCAGGGGCTATATTTTGGGGTAGGCAATATTTCCCTCATCCTTGTAGCCTACCCTCCCCACCAAGCAAGATTCGAGTACCTCGATGTCACCCCAGAGGCGGCAGCAGTATATGGATCAGACACAAATCTACATTCGAATGTTCTGTGCCAGCCTCTGTGCTTTTAGCTTCCTAATGCTGATCTGCATGTCCCCACTGAACTGGGTGCAGTTCCTGGTGATCAAGAATGGCCTTGAGCTCTACGCAGGACTCTGGACCGTATGCAAGCATGAGCTCTGCTGGAGCCACACACCCAAGTCACCTTGTGAGTGCCACCAAATCAAATGCCAGATGCCCCACAGTTCCAGAGCTTTCTGCCACATTGGCTCTTCACCTTACTTCTTCCAAGATCTTTAGGTCTTCACTTTTGCAAGTTCAGAATGGATCTCAGCCAAGTTGTAAATATAGCCAGCCTTTTCTTTGGTATCCTCAGTGTACCCCTTCTCCCTCCTATTCCAGGCTGTTCCTATCCCAGATAAGTTGGTATTCTTTACTCTCTGGGAAGACCTCTTTTGCCATTTATAAGATATTACTGTGAAGCAATATGACTAATGTTCTACTGTAGCTAACAGAGACAGACAATTGGTTGTAGCTGAGAGGTAGACTCTAAACACCCATTAGAGTTGACTTGCAAGGTCAGCTTATTCCAGGCATCCTCCCGTGCGCCACATGTAGCCTGCCTAGGACATTTATCTGGCCCACCGGGTGTTTTTGCTGCCGCTGCCTGTCCTGCTTAGCAGCCAACTTGTCCGGGGGCCCACAGTCCAGCCCTTCAGTGATCTGAGGGACAGTGAACTGGCCCTCTGTTTAAAAAGTTTGAGGACCCCTGCTATTCTGCTAACCATTAAAAAGATGTATGTTAGTATGTGGCATAAGGGGCTTAGCACCTGTGGCTTAAGTGGCTAAGGTGCCAGTCACATACGCCTGAGCTGGTGGGTTCAAATCCAACCTGGGCCCACCAGAAACAATGACAGCTGCAACCAAAAAATAGCCGGTGTAGTACCAGCTACTTGGGAGGCCAAGGCAGGAGACTCGCTTGAGCCCAGGAGTTGGAGGTTGCTGTGAGCTGTGATGCCACAGCACTCTACCCAGGGTGACAGCTTGAGGCTTTGTCTCAAAAAAAAAAAAATGTGGTGTAAGGAAGGCCAGCTATGTAGAGTAAATCATGTCAAATTTTATGTGAATTTAAATGTGAAATGCATCACAATATTTTAAAATAAATTCTAGGGCCTAGAAAATACCATATGCATGAGTTTTATAATCAAACCAAAGACTGAGAGCAAAGACATGCTGCCTGAAGGTCTATGAATGACAGTCTGATTTCATAAGGCCACTGAGATGTACTTGGCGGGAACCCCAGGAAACACTAACAGCTTTCCTATCACCCACAAGATATACCCTTAACAAAGAAGCAGATATTGTGAAAGAAAATGTAGGTGAGTAAATCTCCTTCTCAGATAAGCAGGGGTCCCAGATGCAGGGGGGAGAGCACCTAGGCCCAACCCTGAGGTGAAGCATCAGTTATTTGCCCATGGGCTGTGTCATTTGGAATTCATTTACAGTATCCTAAAGTAGAATCTTGGGAAGAGACTAAAACAAAGGTGGGCTGAGAGAAGTAGCTCATCCCCATATCACAGAACTCTGGGAGGCTGAGGTGGGCAGATTGCTTGAGCTCAAGAGTTTGAGACCAGCCTGAGCAAGAGCAAGACCCTGTCTCTACTAAAAATAGAAAAACTAGCCAGGCATTATGGCAGGCGCCTGTAGTCCCAGCTACTCGGGAGGCTGAGGCAGGAGGATCACTTGAGTCCAAGAGTTTGAGCTGTGACTTATGACAACACAGCACTGTACCAAGGAGGACAGAGAGAGACTGTCTCAAAAAACAAAACACAAAGGCAGGGAAACAATTCAACTGCATCTTCAACTAAGAAGAACAGCTAGAGAAAATGTTTGCAACAGATATGAAAGATAAACATTAATGACCTTACTCTATAAAAAAGGATATACAAATTATTAAGATAAAGGCAAAAGTCCAAATAAAGCAACTCCTTTTGAACAGACAAGTCACAAAACAGAAACTATAATTATCCAATAAAAATAAGAAAAACAACTTAACCTCAAGGATTAAAGAAAGGTAAATCAAATGAACAATGAAATATGAATTTTCAACCATCACATTAACAGGGATTTTGTTTTTGAAACTCAAGTGTTTCTCTTGCCTCAGCCTGCCAAGTAGCTGGGACTACAGGCACCCACCACAATGCCCTACTATTTTTAGAGACAGGGTCTTGCTCTTGCTCAGGCTGGTCTCAAAATACTGAGCTCCAACAATCTACTTACCTAGGCCTCCCAGATTACAGGTGTGAGCCACCACGCCTGGCCATTAACAGGGATTTTAAAAGAACAATGCACAATATTGCACACTCCCATACACATCATGCAAACTGGTATAACCAAAGCAGCATGATTGTGTATCTGGAGATTTTAAAATTATCATCTTTGACTCAATAATTCCACTTCTAGAAATTCCAAGGAAATAATAAGAAATGAAGTGAAAGGTTTAGGCATGAACATTAAGCTGAAGTTATATTTATGTAACTGGGTGCCCAGGCTGTACTTCAGAACTCAAGATTGTTATTTAAATCTTTAATGAATTAGAAGTCTGAAATTATGTCACTTAAAGCAATAAATAGTTTACTTCTTAGAACCCTGAATTCAACTAAACAACTGTTACCAATTCCCAAACAACTGTTACTCGTTTAGAGAAAGTCAACTAAGTGAATACTTAAGGCACACATTATTTAAGTTAAATATCCACCCTATTTGCAATGTTAACTAGTCCTTATTCTAGGGCCAGTAACTAGTCTGCAATACAGATCTCGTAAGGAATCCCCCAAATGTAATTATAATATCTGGGCTTCATCTGCCTGTGACAATAATATGATGTAATCGGGTTTTTGTTTGTTTGTTTTGAGACAGGTCTCACTTTGTCACCCTCTGTAGAGTGCTCTGGTGTCATAGCTCATAGCAACCTCAAACTCTTGGGCTCAAGCAATTCTTTTGCCTCAACCTCCTGACGAGCTGGGACTACAGGTGTCCACCACAACACTTGGCTGTTTTTAGAGATGGGGTCTCACTCTTGCTCAAGCTGGTCTCAAACTCCTGAACTCAAGAGATCTTCTGACTTCGGCCTCCCAGAGTGCTAGGATTACACCACACCTGGCCTAATATGATGTTGCTTTTGCTCAAATATGTTATTGTCTAATAATTATTGTCCATTTCAATGACTTCAAATTTTTACCTATTGGATCACAAGAATTTATTCCCCCCTACCTGACAGTATCCACAGTGTCCTTGCTCATTGCTACAAGTTTCACAGGGGCTAGCTCGGGTGCATTCAAGAATGTATGTACTCAAAAAATCCTCTGTCCAGGACTCACTTCGGATCATTGTGGCCCTGGGTCTGATATCACCTGGGTGTAGATGACTGACAGCCTCTCTGCTGTGGCTGCTCCTAATGGGATGAAGAGGGGATGGGGAATAGAGAATGCTGACTTCACTTTTACTAAGAAGTCTCAAGTGTGGAATAGACATTTCTGTTATCTCCCACAGCATTGGTCAGATCAGACTGTGATGAAAATGATGTGTCGTCAGAGAGTAACTTGAACACTTCTGCGGAGGGTGGAAAAGAAAGGGTAGCTCTTTTAGTCAAGGCACTAGGGACCCTAGAGTTAGGACTCCAGGGACCACCATACAGTAAACATCACCAAGCTGTGTAGGGATGTTTTATTCTGGCACTCCAACCGGCTTACACAGGAACCTAGATACTAAGCAGATGTCACAGACACCTCTCTAGGGGACTAGGGGTCTCCACCCAGGAGCTTTTCTATTCCCAAACTACCTTCTTTTGGCACTTCTCTTGAAGCACTGGCCTTATGTACCTGGAATGAAGTCACACTGGCAACAGCACGGAGGCTTAGACTTGGCGAAATATGTGAGCTGACCCCCCCCCTTCTTGTCTATAGGTGCACATTCTTCGTCCTCCAAATCAATATCCACACTCCACCCCACCTACTCAGTCTAGGTGCCCACTTCAGTCTTAGGAGCTTTTTTGTCTTACCTGATGGGACTTTTGTTTTTATTATTATTATTATTTGTTGAGACAGAGTCTCAAGCTGTTGCTGTGGGTAGAGTGCCATGGCTTCATCATAGCTCACAGCAACCTCCAACTCAGCCTGGCCTGTGATGGTACTTTTAAGTGTAGATTAGGCTGATTCTGGGAACACCATCAAGAATCTTACTAAGTTTCTCAAGTGATTTGGACTTAGTCTTCTCCAAATTGAAAGTGATATCCTTGCTCTTCCCAGACAATTAGCTTCATTGCTAAAAGTAAACTGTGAGGCTTGTTATTCTTGCAACTTAAGCTCATGTCAAAGCATAACAGTAAGAAAAAGTTTCAGAAATGCTTGGATACAGGTGACGTACATGGGTGTGTTCCTTGGCTCTAGAGCACTCCTCTTTCTGGATCAAGATTTACTAAAACATACAAGCAGGACCTTTTGCAATTTAGTGAGAGTCTCACTTTCTTTCTTTCTTTTTTTTTTTTTTTTTT